TTTTTCCCTACCCAAACGTGATTTACCCGTGACAACATTATTCTACTATGAATTTTTTGTCTAGTCATCGATATGTATAGAAAAATAAATGATGAGAATCCACTGACAACAAAATCAAATTGGATGGTCATAATAACATCAAATATAAAGTTGGGTGGCCACCAGTGAATTTAACCCTTTATAGAACTCAAAATTCAACAATAAAAGTCCGTTTCATTGGCAAAAGTGAAAAAACTTTCCAACTTCATGTAAATTGGAAAATAAAAGTTCAAGTACCCCATAAAAATACATTTTTCATGAAATTGACAAAAAACAAGTATAAAGTAGTTATATTTTGGAATTCGAACTTCATTTCTACTTTCGTATCAAACACTCAAAATAGAAATTGAATTTCTCTGATGTGACATTTTTCATGAAATTTAAACTAATCAAACAAACCCTAAAAGTACTTCTAACTAATATATTGCCTCAATAAAATATAAAAGGATAACTTACATATATAGCCCTCAATCTTTACTGAAATTTGAAATCTTGTCCCCAATTTTTTCAGTCTCAATCTTGTCCCCAAACCTTCAATTAGTTAGCTAAACTAATTGAAGGTCACGGAGCTAAAGGTGGATGGTAGTAAGTGGCTGGAGGTTTTTGGGGGGTGGGTGGGTGGCAGAATCGGGGTTTCAGGTGAGTTGAAGAAGACATTGTTTGTTCTTTTTATTTTTGTATACTATTCTTTTTTGTTTCTCTTATAATTATTTATTTATTTAAAGTTATGGGTAAAAATGTTTTCTTACACCACTTTAACTTTGACGATTCCATGAGAAATTACTATTTGTGCTAATTAATTGAAGATTGCAGATAAAATTGCGACGAAAAACGGATTTTGAACAAAGGTTGAGAACTTAATAAGAAATTTATTGCCTATGAAACGTTATTCAAATTTATTGATCTCTGCCCCTGTTTGGTAAAGCTTTTTTAGATTATAAATTGGCGAAACTCACAAATACGTAGTTTAAAAATATATAAAGATTGTAGATTTAAAAATAAAATTTCATCAGTTTACAGTCTCCAAAAAAACTTCAAAAGATAGGGTAGAAAAGGTGAAAAATGAGCACACAGAACACATTTTGTTCCCTACCCAAACTTGATGTACTCATGACAATATTATTCTATTATATTTTTGTCTAGTCATTGATATTTATAGGAAAATGAATGAAGAGAATCTACTCACAACAAACTCAAATTAGATAGTCATGATGACATCAGATATAAAGTTGAGTGGCCACTAGTGAATTTAACCATTTATAGAACTCAAAATTCAACTATAAGGGTCCGTTTGATTGGAAGAGATGAAAAAGCTTTCCAATTCCATGTAAATTGAAAAAGACTCAAGTACTTCATAAAAATACATTTTCCATAAAATTAGTAAAAAAAATAAGTTTAAAGTGGTTATGTCTTGAAATTCGAACTTCATTTTCACTTCATATCAAACAATCAAACTAAAAATTGAATTTATCTGATGTGACATTTGTTATGATATTTAAATTAATCAAAAAGACCCTAAAAGTAGTTTTGACTAATATATTGCCTCAATAAAATATAAAAGGATAACACTTGCATATATAGCCCTCAATCTTTACTGAAATTTGAAATCTTGTCCCCAATTTTTTCAGTCTCAATCTTGTCCCCAAACCTTCAACTAGTTAGCTAAACTAATTGAAGGTCACGTAGCTAAAGGTGGATGGTAGTCGGTGGCTGGAGGTTTTTGGGGCTGGTGGGTGGCAGAATCGGGGTTTCAGGTGAGTTGAAGAATACATTGTTTGTTCTTTTTATTTTTGTATACTATTCTTTCTTTCTTTTTATTTTTTTTAATTTGTTTATTGTTTATTTAAAGTTATGGGTAAGAATGTTTTCTTACACCATTTTAACAGAACGCTTTGACAATTCCAGGAGAAATTACTATTTTTGATAATTAATTTGACAAGCAGCTTTTGAACAGAAGTTTAGGACTAAATATGAAATTTATTGCATAGAAAAACGTAATTCAAGTGTATTGATCCACGCAGTGTTACATGAACTCTAGAGTAGCACGTTTTCCTTGTTAATTATTTGATAAATTAAAAGAAACTTTGCTTGTTAATTCCTGTCGAAATAAGCACTCGAATGTTATTATTCTCACTCACATATGCGTCCAAAAAAGTAAAAGTTAACCATTTACTCCTGCAAAGTTTTAATAATTTAAGCGAACATGCACTCATGTACCTACTCCCACTCACGGACCATGCCATCATATTTTAATAAAAAATTAATTTTCTTTCGCCGACACTCGGTGTTATTACGCATGAAATAGTATAAATGGAGGGAGTATGGTGGAACTTCTGCAAACTTGACATAGATGGCTTCTTTAGGTGCAATGGCATCTGCAACTAATTGCGTTCCCCATTCTTCTTCCTTCTGTTCCAAGATATCTCCCTTTTCCAATAACAGAAGAAACCCTGGCGTGAAAGTTACATGCAAAGCCAAAAATGGTGACCGCAGACCTGAAACCACCTCCAAAAATGGAGAGAATTCTCCAGGGATTCTCGACAGGAGGGATGTTCTTCTCGGCTTAGGCGGGCTTTATAGCACAAGTCTTGCTGCAAATCCAATGGCCTTAGCTAAGCCAGCCCTCCCTGACTTCAAAGATTGCGTTGATGCCACACAACCCAACGACACACCCATCAACTGCTGCCCTCCGGCGGCAGCTAGGATTGAGGATTATGTTCCTTCGGCCACCACTGTCCGCACTCGAATGGCTGCTCAGTCAGCCACTGTTGATTCAGATTATTACAAAAAGTATTCGGCGGCTATTCAGAAAATGAGAAACCTCTCTCCGGCTGATCCACGCAATTTTCGGCAACAAGCAAATGTCCATTGCGCCTACTGCGATGGAGGTTACACTCTACAGGGAAATCCAAAGCTGTTATATGAAATCCATGGTTCTTGGCTGTTTTTCCCCTGGCATAGATGGTACGTGTATTTTTTCGAGAAAATCTGCCAAAATTTGATTGATGATGATACTTTTACTTTACCATTTTGGAACTGGGATGCTCCTGGAGGAATGCAAATTCCACCAATGTACAATTCTATTGTCACATCACCTCTTTACAACTGCCTTCGCAACCCGGATCACTTGCCACCATCGGTGATCAATCTAGAATGGTCCGACGGCGATGTAACGGTAGACCCTGAAGTTCAGATCAAATATAATCTTGCCATAATGTACACCCAAATGATTACCCAATCAAAGACTCAAGCTGATTTCTTCGGAAGCCCTTATAGGGCCGGTGATGATATATCCACGCTCAATGGCGCTGGTCAAATTGAGCAAACTCCTCATAATCACGTGCATTCTTGGACCGGAACTGTAGTCGACCTGAGCAATCCAGTCGACATGGGTGCCTTGTACTCTGCCGCTCGAGACCCAATTTTCTTTGCTCACCATGCAAATGTTGATCGGATGTGGACCATATGGTTGAATCAACTCAAAGGAACCAATTTTACAGACTCGGATTGGTTAAATGCCTACTTCATTTTCTACAATGAACAGGCAAAACCCGTAAGGGTGAAAATTCAGGATTGTCTCGATACCACAAAACTTGGATATACATATGAAGACGTGCCCATTCCATGGCTCGATGTGAGTGCAAAGCCAAAACCTCGGGCAAAGGCAAAAACCTTGCCTTCTGCACCCGACCCTGCTCAGGTTTTCCCAACAACATTGGACAAACCTATAAACGTGATTGTCAAACGACCAAAGAAGTCCGGTAGTGGATCTTCTGAGGAGATACTCGTTATTGAAGGTATAGAATATGATAAAGGAAATCACGTAAAATTCAATGTGTACATCAATGAAGATGACGTGAATGCTTGTCATCCAGACAATACTGAGTTTTTGGGGAGCTTCAGCAGTTTGCCCCATGGACACCGGATGAATGTTAAGACAAATAAGCGATTCAGGATTTCTGAAGTGTTGCAGGAATTAGGAGCTCAAGATTATGACAAGGTATTGGTGACATTGGTACCGAAGAGCACTCCTGTGAAAATAAATGGTGTCAAAATTGAGTTTGATTCCTAGCAAATTGCTGCAGAAGATTTAATGGTACTTGGCATAATCATGAATTATAGCCTTGGTGCCCGTGGTACCACGTCCTTTTTAGCTTCTATAGCGGGTTTTCCTTCTAAGTCTTTGGGCTTGATTTGTTTAGATCGTTATGGTTATTCCTCTTTTAGATTTCGTTAGAACCACGGTTTTCCTCCGCCATAAGCGAGGGTTTCATTAATAAAGGACATGGAGGTGCCGCCCTCCTTCTCAAAAAAAAAAAAAAGAAGATGGAAAACTAGTTCTAGTTTATCCCCATCCTCCTAAGTGTTTACTTCTTAAATTTTCGTCATTAATAAAATAAGACACCATGTGTCGTTTTAATTACAGAATTAATTTCTATATACATTTACATATGTGGGCTATTTAGAAATACATTATAGTAGACAAGGGAAATGACTATTTGATCACAGTTGTATGTTACACAGTCACCTTGGATAGAATGAAAACAACTCACGAAGAAGGTTTCATGGATTAAGTAAACAAAAAAGAATTAATTATAATTGGGGAGTAACAAATAAATTTTGTAGTGGTAAATTGACAAATCGTAAAGGTGAATCGATAATTTTCATAAACATTTTTAGACAGCTAAAACTCAGACCTAACTTGACTAAATTAACTTCTTGAAACCATAATACGTCATATAATACGAAATTTGAAACGAACCTAATATTGATAGGGCAATTCTCGTTCCTTCAATAATTACGCATTTGGCCAAAAAAATATTATCTTTGACACTTATTTTCACTATACTCCCCCAACATCTCAAAAGGACATCGAGGAGAGCATGAAGCCCGACATCATGGTCGTGCCATCCTTATGTTCAGCTTGTCGTGGATCCCTAAGGATGTTTTAGTCCAAGAGACGGCTCAAGATCATAGCTGGTGGGATTACATCTAAATTGTAGACATCAATAACTATTACTCATCATTTAAGGACACATTTTTTTCTCTCGTCTATTAGGGACATATTTTTTTTTCCTATCGAAACTACTTGTTCTCATGACAACATTGTCACAAAATTTTGACTGTCGTCGATATTTACATGAAAATGATGATGTGAATGAGGTCATTTCAATAAATGAATGTAGCAATAGGTGTACTAAAGGATACAATTTAACACTACTTATGACTTTCATTACAAACATGGAATGTCCATTTAATTCGTCAGGCCAAAGAAACAAAATGTCTAATAAATGTCTTAATAAATATCTTATTTTGTTTGCTAGCAATGAATGGAAGAAACAATTAAACGTGATTTGATTGCTCAATATATAGTTTATTTATATATTTTACAGTGTCTAGTAATAAATTGAATTGAACCAATATTAGAGTTACAAAAGAGAATTAATATAGATAATGTTGGACTTTGATACTCAATAAATTCGGAAGATGACATTAAAACGCTGTTGGATTATTTATATTGATACCAAAATTAATTGGCTCGACCTGTGAACAAATAGAGGCCATTGAAAGTAACCATTAATTTGTGTTGTTCGTGGTCCGATCATTAGTTGGACGGTCCTTTTAATTGAGTTATAGCTCATTTCTCTTTGGTTTGTCTTGGCTAATCTTTTGTCTATCCCTAAAACTATAAATGGAGCCTCTTTCTTGTAGGAAAACGTATGGTGCAGCAGTGTTAAATTGAGGGCAGCCGTCTTTTGTCTGTTTCATTGATGAAGCCGTGCGATAAATTGCTACTTTTTTTCCTTCTTTGTGAGATTGCACAGTATTCTTGATCTTTTGTGGATTAATTGTTTGAGAAAAAGGACAACCATAGTGAAGTTTGGTTTTAGGTTGAGAAACTAATTGGTTGATGTTTGATTTGTTGGTTTAAATTAAGTTCGGGATTGCACAGTTGAAGACCTTGGTGATAAAAAAATTTCAACAAATGGTATCTATTGGGAGCAAATAAGAAGCCCCACATCGATTGAGAGAAGAAAAGAAATCCACCATATAACCTAAGTGGACTACTCCACCCATTGTCAATTGATTTTGGGTTAGAACATCATTTGGGCTTGGTGGTGTGGGTTTGGACTCAATCAATTTGCTCATTATTTTCCCTACAACTTGTATCAAAACCCAGGGTCGGAGGAACGCAGTAGAAAGCATGGTGGCGATCTGGCTAAAAATCATTCGCGTTTGAGGTGCCTTGTGTTGAAAGTCTTCCTGACATTGGTGGTCAGACGGCGGGTCCCGTTTGGTAGAGGGCAATGATAATAACAACGATACAAGATGATTGACGAATGGATTATCGTTTGAGGAAAGACCACAATGATGTGGTCCTTCGTTTGAGGGGAAAATTATTGGGAGCAAACAAGAAGTCTCACATCGGTTGGGAGGAGAAAAGAAATCCACCATGTAACTCAAGTGGACTACTCCATCAATTGCCAATTGATTTTGTTTTGAAATCTCATTTGGGCTTGGTAGTGTAGGCTTGGGCCCAATCAATTTGTTCATTATTTTCCCTACAGTATTAAAACACTAGGATATGTAAAATTTGTATCTAAGTTGTACAAAATCGACTGAAAACTGTGGGAAAACTTCTTTTTGACTGGATCTGAAAACATTAATTCTGACCAAACGAAAGGTTGCTTGGACAAACGAAGACCATAGTAGCGCTCAGAACGACGAGGAATACCATGTAAGTTAGCATGTGGAGATCCCGCATGGCAGCACATGAGGCCCACACATAGAGACATCAAGGGCACGTGGGGGCATATGGTGAGGTTTCAGGTAAAGGTCTCTTTGGGCAAATTGCTCGTGGTGGCTGTGTAGACCTTGTGGTGGTATTGGATTTCAGTTTTCAATATTTTGGTTCTAGACCATTTTGTTCTTTCTTGTTCAGCTCCCAAGTTTTGGTGTTCGTGTTGCTGTCGTTGCTGAAAGTTTTAGGGCGAATAGTGTTGGTTCTAAAGTAGTAAATTTACATCTCTCCTTAATAATGGATACTTATCCATTTTAAATTGCAGTACTAGCAAACCATCATGTGGGTTGACCATTAGGATTGGGGTTGTCGTGCGGGGTAACCATTGTGCTGCTACAATTTAGGAATTATTTGCCATGTTTTAAGTGTTAAGTTCAATTGGTAAAAGTCGCTTATTGATTATTTAATATAATTGCTAGTTAAGTCACCGTGTGAGGCTTGCATTGAGTAAGAAATTGGTTTTGTTTGCATACGTCTTTGTTGCATTAATTATTCCGTTAGAACAACTGAACTTTACCCATTTGATCATTCTCTTGATCTAAGATTGCTAATCTCACAGAACCCTGAAAGTTTAGAACGGTATATATTGTTACCTTAGGGCTGCTTTATGTGTTCTAATCGTGTATTTGTACATTTTTTGTTGATTTGTGTCCTGAAAACGACAATACATTTTGATGTGGAAATTTTAAATGGAAAATGAGATTTTTTTTTTTTCTATTTAACAATAGAAAATGAGAGGGATTTTGATTCAACAAAGATTTCAAAAGCTATAGATGATTTTAAGAAAAATAAACAAAAAAAACTTGAGAGATGAGGCGAATGTTGCCACTATGTCTAATTATGATCCGAGTGAGGTTTATTGATAATAAACTTGATTACTGCTTTTGCATCTATGTGAAATCCCATTTGCATGAATGATTGTTTTATTCGGTGTGCTGTTCTATGTTACATTTCATTGTGCTGCTTGTATATTTTTTTTGTATGAATTTGAGAGGTGACCATATTACTTTATGTAATATTTTGCATGCATAAAGGTTGAGATTACTATTATGGGGATTGATACTAGTTGTATTCTCACTTTGGTATGTGCATTTGCAGTAAGTGTATCAATTGATAATATAGAGTATAGATGTCTAAAAGTGCATTGGTGATACGAGGGTGCAAAGAGTGGCATTTGGATCACGAGAAGTGAGGTGATTAAATATTTTGGAATTCTCTATCTATTAAGTATATATTTGGTATTGTTTGCTTGCAGGTTCACGGGTATTAAGGTGGAGATTTTTAGGGTTTTGATATCCTATAAATTTGAACGACAATTTTAAAACGTTGTTGAATTATTTATATCGACACCAAAATCAATTGGCTCGACTTGAGAACAAATTGGAGCCGCTGGAAGCAACCATTAATTTGTGTTGCTCATGGTCCGTTCATTATTTAAACGGTCATTTTAGTTAAGTTAGCCCACTTCCCTTTGGTTTGTTGACCTGTCTCTTGTATTGTTTGTTATGTCTTGGCCCATCTTTTTCATATTCCAAAACTATAAATGAAGTCTCTTTCTTGGAAGAAAATGTGTAGTGCAATAGAGTGAAATTGAGGACAGCCTTCTTTCTCTATTTCATTGGTGTAGTATGATAAATTCCTACCTTCCTCTTCCTTCATTGTGAGATTGTATCCATATTATTCTTGATCCTTTGTGGGTTAATTGTTTGAGAAAGAGGGCAGTGAAGTTTGGTTTTGAGTTGAGCAATTGATTGGTTGACATTTGATTTGTTGGTTTAAACTGAGTTCGAGATTGCACAATTGAAGACCTTGGTGATAATTTTTTGTTACAAATGGTATCAGAGCACTAGGTTGGGCAAAATTGACTAAAAATTGAAATAGAAAATAGAAGTCGAAAACTGTTGAAAAATCTCTTTTTGACCAAATCTGAAAACATTAATTCTAGCCAAACCAGAGGTTGGTGGGATAAATGGATAACATAGGAGTGCTCAAGGCTACGAGGCGCACCTTGCAATGGCGAATGGAGCTCCGGCACGACAGCACATGAGGCCCACATGCAGAGACATTGATTGTGTGTGGTGAGGTCTTAGGCAAAGGTATCTTCAGGCAGATTGTTCTGGTGGCTGTGCATACCCTGTGGTGTTGTTGGATTTCAATATTGAGCTATATTTTGGTTTTGGACCATTTTGCCCTTAGGGTTGTTCAGATCCCAAGTTTTGATGTTCATGTTGTTGCAGTTGCTGGAAGCTTTAAGACAAGTAGCGGTGACC